GGTCTATGGGTCTGTTCTTGTGCAGTACCAAATTGTCTTTATTACTGTTTACTTTTGTGTAGGGGCTTAAACAATAATCCAGTTTCATTCTCTTGCATGTAGCTGTCCAGTTTTGACAACACCAGTTGTTGAAGAGGCTGTCATTTCCCCATTGTATGTCCATGGCTCCTTTATGATATATTAATTCACTATATATGGTTGGGTTTATGTCAGGGTTCTCTAGTTTGTTCCATTGGTCTATGGGTCTGTTCTTGTGCAGTACCAAATTGTCTTTATTACTGTTTACTTTTGTGTAGGGGCTTAAACAATAATCCAGTTTCATTCTCTTGCATGTAGCTGTCCAGTTTTGACAACACCAGTTGTTGAAGAGGCTGTCATTTCCCCATTGTATGTCCATGGCTCCTTTATGATTATTAATTGACTATATATGGTTGGATTTATATCAGGGTTCTCTGGTTTGTTCCATTGGTTTATGGGTCTGTTCTTGTGCAGTACCAAATTGTCTTTATTACTGTGGCTTTGTAGTAGAGCTTGAAGTCAGGGAGCGTAATCCCCCCAGCTTTATTCTTCCTTCTCAGGATTGCTTTGGCTATTTGGGGTCTTTTGTAGTTCCATATGAATTTTAGAATGATTTGCTCTAGTTCGTTGAAGAATGCTTTTGACATTTTGATAGGAATTGCATTGAATCTATAGATTGCTTTAGGCAGTATGCCATTTTGACAATATTAATTCTTCCTATCCATGAACACGGGATGTGTTTCCATTTATTGGTATCTTCTTTAATTTCTCTCATGAGTGTCTTGTAGATTCCAGAGTATAGTTCTTTCACTTTCTTAGTTAAATTTGTTTCCAGGTATTTTATTCTTTTTGATGCAACTGTGAATGGAATTGTTTTCCCGATTTCTCTTTCTGCTAGTTCATTCTTAGTATATAGGCATTCCACAGATGTCTGCATATTAATTTTGTATCCTGCCACTTTGCTGAATTCAGATATGAGATGTAGTAGTTTTGGAGTAGATCCTTTAGGGTTTTTTATATACAGTATCATGTCATCTGCAAACAGGGACAGTTTAACTTCTTCCTTGCCAGTCTGGATGCCTTTTATTTCTTTGTGCTGTCTGATTACCGTGGCTAGGACCTCCAGAACTATGTTGAATAGAAGTGGAAAGAGTGGGCATCCCTGTCTTGTTTCCGATCTTAGAGGAAAAGCTTTCAGCTTCTCACTGTTAAGTATGATGTTGGCTGTGGGTTTATCATATATGGCCTTTATTATGTTGAGGTACTTGCCCTCTATACCCATTTTGTTGAGAGTGTTTTTCATGAATGGATGTTGAATTTTGTCAAATGCTTTTTCAGCATCTATGGAGATGATCATGTGGTTTTTGTCCTTCTTTTTGTTGATGTGGTGGATGATGTTGATGGATTTTTGAATGTTGTACGATCCTTGCAACTCTGGGATGAATCCCACTTGATCATGATGGATGATGTTTTTGATGTATTTTTGAATTTGGTTTGCTAATATTTTCTTGAGTATTTTTGCATCTATATTCATCAGGGATATTGGTCTCTAATTTTCTTTTTTTGTTCTGTCTCTGCCTAGTTTTAGTATTGGAGTGATGCTGGCCTCATAGAATGAATTTGGAAGCATTCCTTCTTCTACTCTTTGGAAAACTGTAAGGAGAATGGGTAGTAGGTCTTCATTAAATGTTTGATAAAATTCAGCAGTGAAGAGGGGGCGGAGCCAAGATGGTGGCATGAGTAGAGCAGCAGAAATCTCCTCCTAAGACCATATATATTTTTGAAAATTCAACAAATACAATTATCCCTAAAAGAAAGACCAGAAGATACAGGACAACAGCCAGGCTACATCCACACCTGCGAGAACCCAGCACCTCACGCAGGTGGTAAGATACAAGCTGCGGCCTGGCGGGACCCGAGGCCCCACACGCCAGCTCCTGGCAGGAAGAGAGGAGTCAGAATGGGGAGGGAGAGGGATCCCAGGACTGCTAAACCCCCAGCGCCAGCAATCCTCACTTGGAGCGCAGACACACAGCGTGTGGGGTGCTAGAAACTAGGGAAACGGGACAGTAAAACCTGCGAGTGGGTCCCTGCAGCTGGTGCCCCTGGGACAAAGAAAAGCAAGTGCTTTTTGAAAGACTTAAATGGACAGGGATGCCACAGCTGGATGGAAACGTCCCGGAACACTTAGCCCTGCAGCTGAGCATCCTCAGGAACTCTGGGCACTCTTACCTCCTGGGCAGCAGCGCAACTCGGATGACCCTCACAGCATCCTGCCCATTTCCCCTCCAACGCCATCTGCCATAGTGGAGCAGCAGCCTGAGGCAGCAGGGCAGAGCTTATTTCACAGCGGCTGGGCAAGAATTAGAAACCCCGTCTCCATGCAGCTGCCCATCACAAGCTGCTAGGGGTCGCTGTTCTCCCAGGAGAGGAAGGCCACAACTAGCAAGAAAGGATGTTCTCCCAGCCAACACATGCACCAGCTTCCCGCAACTATCTCTATTGCCATGAAAAGGCAAAAAAATTTGATCCAGACCAGAATCACACAGACATTCTCCCCTGAGAAAAAATCTGGGGAGATAGACCTAACCAATCTGCCCTGAAAAAGAATTCAAAATAAAGGTCATAACCATGCTCA